TTTCTATTTCAACTCTGAATCCCACTGATCAATTCTGTAAGTCTCCATTTCATGATGTGATGGAGTAAATATTACCCATAAATCTGGACCCTTACCCTCAGAGCAATGTAGGTTATGGTTTTAGCACGTTCTTAATAATACTATGTATCGCCAATAAAATCAATCATGGATAGAGGTTACAATAAAGTTAGGTAGCATGAACAAAGAAAGCAATATTCAAGTGAGCACAGCAGCTGTTAACAAAACAAAGACACTGGAACTTAGTGAAGGCAAGGAAGGAGAGCAGAAGAGACAACAGTGAAACGAGCAGCCAAGTTGTCAGGAGAAGTACGGCCCCGTTCTAATAATCTGTCCCATTCTGGGACTGAGAAATATGACTGGAGAGGACAGGATGCTGGTTTGCCTCTATCTTCTTGTGGTGCCGACAACAAACAAACAAACAGCCGAAACCGGTTTGGCTCAGTGGGTAGACTGTCAGTCTGCGGACTGAAGGGTCCTGGGTTCAGTTCAAGTCAAGGGCATGTACCTCGGTTGCAGGCACATCCCCAGTAGGAGGCAGCTGATCAATGACTCTCATCAATGTTTCTAACTATCTCTCTCCCTTCCTCTCTGTAAAAAAAAATCAATGAAATATATATATATATATTTTAAAAAAAAACAACTTCCTTCTGCTTAAAAAACAAAACAAACAAAACATCTAACTCGCTGTGCACCAGAAAGAAGAACGGACACAGTGGGAATGGAGGAACAGAAAACAGTCACTGTGACTCGCCGGGCAATGCTCACACACAATGGAAGAGACTTGCAGGCCGCGCAGGAGGGAATCGAAGTGCTGGCTGCAACCTGAGGAGTGGGAGCCCTTACCTCAGAACCATAATTGATTTGTTTGATTTACCAGAACAACAGTAAGCCACGCACCAACCCATTTTATTGCCTGTTTTACACTCTATATCTGCAGGAAATTGTATTTATTACAGAACAGGCTATGGGAAAAACAATAATAAATCCAAGATAAGCAACAGCCTTGTATTTCACCGACATGCACATTTCACATTTTTGTATGCTGGTGAGGGAGTGGAGAGGGGATCAGGGAAAAACAGAACCCACTAATAATGAACCTGTGTGACATGGACCAGTCACCATAGAACCATCCTCCTAACCTTATCGGATGCACTTCCAAATGGGTCAAATTCTTAGTTGGTTTCACAATCCTTGGAATAACATGACCTGAAGGAAACTGGACGGACAATTAAGAAAGAAAGCAATGAGCAGGACTTGCAATACCTCACTTCCTTCACCTTGAAAAATTAGAACTAAAGGAAAATAGTAACTTCTTCAGGATTCAAATAACTAGATTGGCACCATGTTTTCCCTTAGTGTTGCCCTGAAAACAGGTGCAGAAGATGCAGAAGAGCCAAGTTTTAAAAAACCTTAGCCAAAAGGTAGGGTTCACTCAGTTGGCATTACACAGGTGCTACGTCCCTTATGGAAAAACATCCAGTTACATTAGTGTGAAAAATCGTCTGTACTAACACATAGAAAACAGAACCACAAGTTGGGAGCCATCGTAACATTTTTGAAAAGTCACAAAATTGTACTGAGCTCTCAGTATGGAAAGGGACAAAACAGGCACAACTGGGACAGCAGAACCCAGTCAGAAAGCACACTCAGTAGCCAACACTGCCCAGCCCAGTCCTGGGAAAGCTGACGAATGACATGAAGAGCCTACTTGTTTCCTCACGCAGAGGTCAGTGTCTCACTTGCCAAAATGGGCAGTCATCCTATCACTCCTGGGCTGGGATTGCTGCCACAGGAAGCCAGCCAGGGAGGTTTTGCACTTGTTAAGTTCTTATGAGGTATTTTAATGCCCTCTGACCCTTATCCGGTAAAATCATTTTTAAAAATGCAAGAGAAGAGAGGCTCTGGTCTGGCAGGTAGCTTAGTTGACTGGCACATAGAGGCCCTTGCAAGAGTCAACCAATGAATGCATGAATAAGTGGAACAATAGGTGAATATCTCTCTCGCGCGCGCGCTCGCTCTCTCTCTCTCTCTCTCTCTCTCTCTCTACCTCTACCTCTACCTCTCAATCAATCAATATATAAAATTTAAAATATGCAAGAGAAGAGCTATGGCCAATAAGGTAGAAACTCAACTCTAAAAGCTGGAAGCCACTAAAATTAGAACAGCATTACTGGTTATTTGTCTCACAAACATGATAATCTATTCTATACAGCACATTTCTTGAGGGTGTTTAGGAGACAAAATATAAGGAGCTTATATACTGAGTGGGACAAAAGTAGGTTTACAATTGTATCTACATACTGAAAACAGAGTTAATTCTTGTATTATTATTTATTTACAATTATTGTATGTGGAAGTGGATACAACTGTAAGCATACTTTGCCCCACACTGTATGTCCCCACCTGTCCCCACGGATGTGCATTGGCGTGGGGAGAGATAGTATATAAATACCAGTTCACAGTCAATTATTTTGGCAGCAGATTATATGTATACTGTGAGTTTAACAAAAACTTCCATTTATCATAACCTGAAACTGAGATGGGGGTCACGAAGGGAAAAGAATAACACAGTTAAAAATTACAAAAAGATTGAGAAACTTCTATGAAGCCCTAATATGTGTGTATTCCAAGGCCTTTACTCTAGATGTTTCTTCATCTAGCTGTAAACTATTTGCCAGCCTGACCCCATATGCCTACATGCCCCCACACAGTAGCACCACCAGCAGGCTTCAGGACGTTGAAACCCATGCATTTCACTTCACCGGCACCAGGGTACCAAACACACTCAGCATGACACTGTGACAGGAAGAAGGGAAGGCTGGGATGGGAAGAGAAAGCTCCTCTGTTTTAGAGGGCACCAAAAACAAAGAAAGAGGAAAGGAGAGCAAACCCTCAATCTGAGCTGAACAACATGTGACGAAGACAGACAAGGTCATTCTGACATCTATTTAAATGAAATAGCTTTCACTTCCCACTTGCTCAAGTTTTTCTCTTTTATTTATGTGGTAACTGAGAGATAAGTAATTGGAATTTATTTTAAAATAACATAAAAAGCAAACTAAACCTTTGATATCCAGATAGAAAGGAGAATAAAGATACACATGAAACTGAGCTACAGATGGGTGTGGGGGCAACAAACAAACAAAAACCAAGAAGGAATATGAAGACAAGTTTCCTAAGATCCTGATAACAGGTGCAAAAGATGCAGAAGAGCCAGGGTTTGCTACCAAAAAACAGACAGACAGACAGAAAAACGTAAGAAAACACCAAAACACACTGAAGCAGGAGGCGGCACAGATTCACAATGAACTCCACAGGCCCAGAGAGAGCACCTCCCGGTCCCCAGGATTCAATTAGCCTCTAGGAGAGAGCGAGCCTGCATAAGCTTTTGACCAGGTGTGTTTGGCCTAATGTAGATCACCATTGTGCTTCCCCAAATAGGTATTTGTAACTCCCCACAACCTGTAATTGAACAAGCAAAAAAAATTATTCTTTGATTACCCCATCTTCACCAACAGAATGCTATTAAGGAAAATGTTGAGAATGATATTAGGGAAAATATTGTTAAGAATGCCACAGCAGGTATATATAGAATATATGTAAACAATAACTCAGCAAGGTAAGCCACAGAGAAAACGGGGCTGATAATACCACACCGTTAACAATGAACAGGTACAACTTAGTCACCTGTGGCTCTAGAGCCATTAGCAACAGGTTTGTGGGGCTCTCCACTATAAAGAATGCACATCAATATTCCTCACTCATTAAAGAGAGATACAATTACTGTAGGCATCAGTGTTTAATCTGTAACCTGCAGTGACTGGCTACAGAGAAAAATAAGCTCAGCAGAATTGCAGTGCTTAATAGGAACAGAGTACCATCACTACATCTAGGTAAGGGCGACATGGCCAGACAGACACATTCATGAAATGCAATCACAGAGGACAAAAGGCAAAGCCTCAGCTAGCCTTGGTTGGAGAACAGAACAGGAAGACAATACACTCTAATTCATCACTGCTGTGGGCAAGGCTGAGCTCTAGCAGCTTTTGTTTATAGTTGCTTTTACTTCTTGGTGCCCAAGGCGAGCTTCCTGAGTGTCCAAACTAAGATTTACTAGTCCATCTTCTGTTACCACCCTTGGGCTATGTGGTCCTCCCACACATGACCTGAATCCCTTCTAACCATCAGTGACTACCGAAGTTGAAATGGATGGTGTGTCCTAGGAACTGAGGGTGAATTGATGAACCAACAGGCCTTTTCTGGGCAGCTTATCAAAATCAGCACCTCAACTGCTCTTCATCTCCTTAGAGGAGTTGCCACGCCCTGACTTTGCTTGTAGGGACTTGATCAGTTTTGTTCATTGTTATATTCTCAGTGCCTAGACCAGTTCTAGGCATAGCAGGCACTGAGAATATAACAATGAACAAATAAACCCTCTCACCCAGCAAAGGTATTTATTTAGCCAAGAGATTCTATTCTTCCCAGCATTTACATCCATTAGCTCAAAGGATGCTCACACATTTCTCCCCCTTAGAGGAAACCCTAGGGGAAAAAAACGTCATGAGGAAATAAATATCAATACCTAAACTTGTCCTAAAGCCTATACTCAGCCTTTTCCCACTAAGACTGCCTAGTCATAGTGAGGATTAAACAGGGATTTTAAAAAGAGGTAATTTTAATACAACAGGAAAAAAATATCTTCTAAGTAATAATAATTAAAAAATAGAAAAGCAATAGAATAGCCCAGGTGACAAGATAGGAGGTTGAATTTAAGCCCCAGTTGGAACTCTGCTTTCTTCAGAATATTAAACAGAATCTCTATAGATGCATAGGCAGCAGCCCCGGAGAAATTCAAATTCATATTTTAGCCTGAAAATGAACAAGCTACAGAAAATATGGAGCTGAAGTCCTTTGGTGAATCAGCAGCCAGGCTCTTGGCACCTCTGCGCCACACAGCTCTATTCAGGGACACAACTCACCCCAGATATGTCTGCGACACGGTGGATAGGCACTTCCTTCTTGCTGTGCAATCCTTTGCCATTCTTAATAGCTCTGCAGAAGAAAAAACACAATTAAATACAAATCACATTGAGAAGCGGTAGGAAGGTGGGGAAATGCTGGTGAGAAGAGGGGTCGTTCAAATGGAGGGGGGTCTATCACTCACTACCCAAGTCACACTACACACGGCTGAGTAGCCAGCCAGTGTCTGCAAGAGTGCTTGCTGGAGGGAATTAGAAGGATGCTCTTCTAAACCCACTTATCAGTACTTGGCTGCTAGTTTCAGCCAACGATGTGCCTGGTAATCAGAGAGCTCCCGGAACTTGTTTCCAAATTAGAGGCATTGTTCCAGACATAAAAGAAGAATAGTTGGAAGAGGAGACTCCTAAGAAACACAGGTAATAATGTTTCTTTCTGTGTTTAATCACATGAAACATTTAAAATGCAAAATATGTAGCTAGTGTTCCAATTCTAATGGAAATAAGTTCCTCCCAGGTAAAAGATAAGTTGCTCTGAATGAAGCAATATTGTATGGAAAAGCCACTTAACGGCAGAGGAGAGGTTAGCAATGGCTACATAATTGTCAGGAAGCCTCATTTCAGTCTCAGTTGTAGTAACAGTAGCTTTAGCAGGGGCTCTGGGACTCGGCCACATATCTGACCCCTGGTTGGGTTGCTCCAATCTCCCACCTTTCATCCCCCAATTCCCTGAATGGTAACAGGGACTGAAGCCGTGAGCATCACTGGGTACGATCCCTGATGTAACAATGAAGGACTGGTGAATGAAAGCTGATGGGTAAATAAGTCACTGCACTATCAGATCAGACCTTCCTGTGTTCTGCCAGTTTGCAGACCCAAGCAGGGAACATTCCTGAGTTTAGAGAATGAGGAACAGAGATTCAGGGGTGTGCCCATTCTGTGGATTAGCCTTTTTACAGTTTCTAAATTGCAGAGAAAATGAAAACTGTCCAGACCAGGGTCAAATATGTCAAACCCTCACACTAGAAACCACACTTCTACATTCTTCTCACCCAGGCTCCCACGAAATGACCAGCAATAGAGGACGCCACTCTGCTGGGGGTACTTTTAGCCCTGACTTTCTAAATCAAATTCACATAAACCAAACGAGGTGAGTGTTGCTCAACACAAGGGGGAACCGTCATATTTCTTACATATGTGGGCCAGTACCGTTCATCCCTCGCCCCTTCCTCCACAGGGGATCTGTCTCTCACTCAACTGATTTAAATGCCTTCTGTTCAGAAACAAACACTTTCCTTACTATCTAGTTTTCATTCCACGATGAGGGTAAGGTATGAAAGCACAGAGTTAACAAGGAAAAAAAAAAAAAAATCACACACTTACTCTGATCTGAACAGCTAACCGAAAGAAAGCATTTCGAAGTTCCTTGAATACCATGGCTGCCGCCTGAACCTGAAGCAAGGGCTCCTTCAGCTTTAGAAATTGCAAACAGGTCAGATTCTTCCTTTTACAATTTAGTCCAGGGACTGACCATTCAGGGAGCCTGTTCATGATCACAGACTGGGGCTGGCTCTCCAGGTCGGTCCCAGTCCTTTGGGATTTGTAAACTCACGGGAGAGGACTAGAGGATGGTTTCCATGGGAAACCACTGGCAGGAAGCCAACAACAGATCTAACTCATCCTCTGCCACCAACAGGCTCTCCCTCTCCCCATTCTGCTACCTTCACCTCGAGGAGCAGAAGAAGGCCTCTGGAGGCAAGGCAAGCACGCAGCCACCTGACTGCAACTCACCTCCTTCAAAAAGAGGCCGCTACGTCCAAAAATGCCTCCAGCCCCATCTCCTTCTAGTAACAAGGACGAGTGAAAAAATTGGACCTGCCCTCCACACTGACAGTTCATGTGAGAGCACTGAACTCTGGCCTTTCCTGGGAGCTGGAAAGCATTTTGTACAGTCTGAGAGGAAAGAACTGGGCCTGAGCAGTAAGTTAAGAAAACAGGTTCGAGGCAAAGGATTTGTTCTGTGACCCCAGCTCTGTGTCTCAAGCAGAAATCTAGGACTTAGCCAAGATTCAACATGCCACTCGAGAGAAAAAATAATACCCCAAGCAAAAAAACATGGATTACAGTGTGCAAAAGACATTTAAACACAAACCAGACTTCTTTAAAGTTAATTCTTGAAAAGAAAACCTTGTTCCTAAAAAGGATATTATCAGACTCTTATTTACATTCAGGCATTAATTTTGGAGAAACCTTCAGAAACTTAATCTTTTCATGCTTATTGATGCTAAATTAGATCAATCTCAAGTACATTCAAGAGGCAGCAAGAAAGTAGTATTATAACATCATATACAACCCAGCCATGGTTCAGTGGTTAAGCGCTGACCTATGAACCAGGAGGTCATGGTTGGATTCCCAGTCAGGGCACATATGCCTGGGTTGCAGGTTTCGGGCTTGATGCCCGGTGGGGGACATGCAGGAAGCAGCCGATCAATGATTCTCTCTCATCAATGGATGTTTCTATCTCTCTCCCTTTCCCTTTTATGAGTTCAATAAAAATATATTTTAAAAAAATAAGATCATATAGAAACAGTTCTCACTGCTGTTAACAAAATAGAGGCAACACTGAAAGTTAATGATTTGTAAATACTAAGTACAAATAATCCCACCAACAGTGTGATACACTGGACTCGGGCTGCCAAACGAGAGGGCTCGGAGAAATGAGCTCAATGGTTATATAATTCTGCTTGAGTCTCCTGCCCTGCGCCAGGGTTGCTTCGGTTCTTGTCCCAGTGCTGCTGCAGAAATAAGCTGGTGAGCCATCTCCAGAAAGCCTCCCTCAGCCTGACACCAGCCTAATTATGCCTCAGCAGGGGAGTGACGGGGGAAGTGCCCAGTGTAGTATCTCAAAGAGGAAAGGAGCAAACACCAAGAGTGGCAGGCTCACCACAGTTCTTTCCAAAGGGGACACAATATACACCTTTGTTCCAGGGCTATACGGCTATAGGACAGTTGGATGGATGGTAAATAAAGTCAAGACCCGCGCGTCTTATATAACCTAATTCCTTTGGGATGAGTTTTGGGAGCTCTGTCTTTGAAACATGGGAGGGGAGTCAGCGAGCAGGTTTGCTCCCACTGAAACCTGCTCCACAGAGCAAACGCCAACGCCCCTCCCGCATCCCCTCTCCCCACAGGCTGCAGCCATAGCTCAACATCCCTTTTCATTAGGCAAGGAATGAAACTCCTGACTTCTAAACTTCTCCTGCTGCGTCTGCTTAATAGCTGCTTTCTCACAAAGGCAGGCTGTGCTCCGGCCAGCCAGGAGGGAGGAAGCAGTGGGGCAGAGCACAGCTTGCTCCTCGCAGAACCTTAGTCTCCAAGAAGCTGCGGTGTGCAAAGATGGCAGAGACCGGCGATGTCAACAATGGAGAGAAATCACCACCAGCCAGGAGACGTGAGTATACATCCACATTCATGCAAAGGGGTAAAGGTCAGAATAGAAATAAAAACCCAGCTTCCCAGGTTGCTTCTGGAAGCTTTTAGAAGCTGCGGCAGCGTGGGAGCAGAATCCTGTTCCAATCATTAGAAACACCCTTTTTCCCTTAAACAGCAAAGTTTAAAATTCTCACACGAGAGGCTCCTGCTTCCCCACCAGACAATAAAACCGTCAACTGCTAAAACAAGATTACCCCCACCGACTGAGCACAACGGGATTAGCATCTCAGCACATTTAATGCAAAGGAAAAAGAGTTTGCTTTTAGGTTCCGGGGTCCTTAACTCAGACAGAAAAACCTACAGACCAAGACCAATCCTCTCCTAGCACCACTGACACATAACAGTTTGTAAGATCACAAAGAAAGTCCAAGACTCTATGGTTAGATGCAACATAACAACAACCGTAAAAGAGCTGCCACAGTAGGAATTATTCACCTGGGCACTAAGTGAGCTGCACATGTAGCTGAATTATCTGCAAACTATCCTAAAATGGTAAAAGTATATATCTGAATTTTTCTGGGGAATAGGAGCTTCCAACAGTTTCACAGAAAGAAATGCTTTCATATATAAAATCTATTTAAAGAAAATAAAGTGGTGAAAAGCAGAATGGCCTACAACAGAGAACTGGCAGGGAAACGATGTGGCAAGGGAAGCTATGGAGCGGAAAGACATGAGGAGATCCTGAATTCTTAAGTTTCCCTTAAACAATGCTCTCTTGATAACTAGGGACCAAAAAGTCCCATAACTCTGCTTCTGCTTCATCTATCATCCGATACTTTCTTCCTTCCTACGTGTACTCACGTGGCCCTTCTGTTTCCCTATTGGGCCAGGCCCTCACCAATTTATTCCAAGATAACATCCAGAATACTTTAACTAAATTCACTCAGTTCCGTTTGACACTGCACACTACTTTGATTCAGCATTGTGTTCCACTGCTGCATGGCTTCTCATAACAAATCTGTTTCATCCTTTTGCTTCCTACTTCCACCCAAAACAAAGACTGCCAGCCTGTGACATCAAGTGGAAATTAAAATGCTTAGCTTTCTAGGGCCTCTACCATGCAGCCCCAGTTTATATCTTCACATGTTTTCTGCATTAATCCTTCTCATGTAATTAGGCCCATTTTCTCCAGGTCTCTACACAAAAATTATTCATTATGTGTGCTCTTCCAGGTCCAAAGTATAGAATAAAGAGTTACAAATTAGAGCTGTAGCAACACAATTATCATCACAATCGTAACACAATGATCACATCAGAAATTCTTAACCTGGGGTCCTAGGAAGCTAAAGTTTATATACTGGGAGTATTTACAGATGACTTTGAAATGGTAGTGAAATTATATAAATATACATATGGGGGTGGGGGCTGAGACAGGCTCAGTTCAGCAGGTAATTATAAACTGCAATATACTGCTTTCAAAGTGCATCAAGTGTTCATCTTTATTTCCATAGCTAGAATTCAGGCCTTTTGAGGGTTAGGATTCAGTCCTTGATGCTTGTTACCATATTTAACACAGGGCTATGTTCAAATAGTTATATAAACCCAGAACCATCTAGTTCAATTATTGTGTGCCTAGCAAAGCTG